TTTAGCGCTGGCTTTTTGTCGACGGCTCACTCGGGCTCAGACAGGGAGGCAGAGTGGGGGAAGCCGCTCAACTGTATCTAGAGCTTTGACGCTGCATGAAATGGCACCTTAAAACAACCGTCTTTGGCATCGGCGACAACAGACGGTACGCATCCCTCTCGCCGATTTTTCGTCACGGACAAGACATCAGGATTTCGATTCTTAATCGACACGGGAGCAGAGGTATCGGTCATCCCATCACGCCCAGCAGAGACATCAAGGAAGGCTCAAGGCGTACTCTACGCGGCGAACGGTTCACGGATAACAGTTTTCGGTGAACGTGCAATGTCACTCAACATTGGACTCCGCCGACCGATCCGCTGCGTTTGTTTGATCGCCGAAGTACCGTACGCAATATTGGGAGCTGACGCCCTATATCAACATAATCTAACGCCTAATTTAAGAACAAAAACGCTCAAGGATATGGAGACAGGAGTAACTATTAACGCAAAGATGGACAAAGCCCCGCTCACAGGTATTTCTAGTTTCGATAAGACTGCACCCATAGCTGAGATCCTAACCGAGTTTGCGGATGTTACCAAACCTTCCGCGCGAATCTTAACAACTCGACATTCTGTAAAACACCAGATCGAGACGTTCGGCTTGCCGGTTTCAGAGCACCCGCGACGTTTTCCACCGGATAAACTGAAGGACGCCAAGGCGGAGTTTCAGTTTATGATGGATCAAGGGTATTGTCGACCATCGAAGAGCCAATGGGCTAGCCCTCTGCATATGGTAAAAAAGAAAAACGGCGACTGGCGCCCATGCGGTGATTACCGTCGTCTAAACGCACAAACACTACCGGATAGATACCCTATAGCCCACGTTCAAGATTTCTCAGCGATATTGCATGGGAAAACAGTTTTTTCCACAATCGACCTGACCAGAGCATATCATCAGATACCAATGGCGGACGAAGACATTCCAAAAACGGCCGTCACAACACCTTTTGGCCTCTTCGAATTCACGGTGATGCCATTCGGACTTCGAAACGCCGCTCAAACGTTTCAACGCTTCATTAATCAGGTCCTTAGAGATCTCGATTTCGTTTTCGCCTACATAGACGACTTACTCATCGCTTCGTCATCCTTAGAGGAACATAAACAACATGTGAAAACAGTCTGCAATCGCCTCAAGGACCACGGGTTACACATCAACATAGATAAGTGTGTATTCGCAGCAGAGACGGTAGAATTTCTAGGATATCAGATCTCATCAGCAGGATCAGCACCTCTACCAAACAAAGTCAAGGCCATACGTGAATTCAAAAAGCCAGCAAATGTGCAGGAACTTCGCCGATTCTTAGGAGCAGTAAACTTCTATCGTAGGTGCCTTCCAAACGCAGCAGCCACACAAGCCCCATTAAACGAATATCTTAGAGACTCCAGGAAGAACGATAAAAGACTAATAGACTGGACGGAGGAAGCGACCGAGGCCTTCGAAAAAACAAAGCAGAATCTAGCAGACGCAACCTTATTGGCACATCCAGCCCCGAACGCCAAACTACGTTTAACCACGGACGCCTCCGGAAGCGCAATGGGAGCAGTACTGGAGCAGTCAACAGACAACGACTGGAAGCCGTTAGGATTCTTTTCCAAAAAGTTTTCACCAGCACAGATGAATTATAGTACATACGATAGAGAGCTGACAGCAATTTATCACGCAATTAAATTTTTCAGACCCTGGATAGAGGGAAACGCCGAAGTGGAGAACAGAACAGACCACAAGCCACTGACATATGCTTTCTCGCAAAAATCGGATAAGGCGTCCCCAAGACAACTCCGCCAACTAAATCTAATCGGTCAATTCACAACTCAAATTTCATACATTTTAGGACAAGAGAATATCGTGGCGGACTCCCTTTCAAGGATAGATGCCTTACGACTCCCGTCTACAATAGACTTCGAAGAGCTATCGAAAGCCCAACTCGTCGACGAAGAACTCGCTCAACTTCTCAAAGACAACCAGACATCGCTAAGGTTCCAAAAACTCACGTTTGGCACGGATCATCAAGCACTGTATTGCGACGTTTCAGCCCACGATATTCCTCCATTCGTGCCGTCGGAATTTCGACGACAAGTTTTCGACGTTTTCCACAACGTTAATCACCCGAGCGGAAAGATCACCACCAAGATAATCGGTCAGCGATACGTCTGGCCAGCTATGAAGAGAGATATAAATAATTGGGCCAAGACGTGTGTACGGTGTCAGAGAGCTAAAATCGGACGACACGTTAATCTACAACCAGCCACATTTCAACATCCTGACGCACGCTTCGACCACGTCCATATTGACATAATCGGACCAATGACTCCGTGCGATGGATTTACATACTGTCTAACCATGATCGACAGATATTCAAGATGGCCCGAGGCAGTACCAATTAAAAATCACCAAGCAGACACAGTAGCCAAAGCCTTTTATACTCACTGGATCGCCCGTTTCGGATCGCCAAAAATTGTAACCACGCACCAAGGTTCAGAGTTCGAGGGCAGACTATTCTCGGCATTGGTTCAACTAATAGGAGGTAAAAGGACTTGTACAACAGCGCATCACTCAGCATCAAACGGACTAATCGAGAGGTGGCATCGAACCCTCAAAACCGCAATCA